GGAGGCGTGGGGTTGCTACTCTACCCTTAATTGGCTTAGTGGTAGACTTGTTAATGTTAGGCTAATAGTTGGACTGGATGATCTTAAAGGTCTTTTCCAACCTAAATGACTCTATGATTCTATATTGAATGTGTATTGCCTGAAGCAGTGAGGTTGGGGTCACTAGTGATGTGTGAATACTCCTCAGAGATTCTATCAAAGGAATGTATTGCACAAATTTTTGCCTTGGAGCATTCATGAGACTTCAGTAATACGCACAGTATGTTGTTCTTTTCTTTTTTCTTTATTTTTTCTTGCTCTTTCTTGACTCTGAACTTGACAGGCAGGGAACTGTTTTATGCTTTAGCTAAAATACTAACAACTGTAGGTACTGACAGTTCGAACAGGAAACAGTTCCTGTATTACTGGAAGAAGTATGCAGATGTTTCTTGTTGGTCTGTGGAAATCTTTTTGATTCTTGCCAAGTTATGCCTGACCTTAATTCAGGAAATGTCATTTAGCTCAGTAAAAAGACAAATTATGCATGCTCGTCTTTCTAAAGGCGTAAATAATGGCCAAGGAGTCTTGTGCCATAATCCATGAAAATACAATGTATTTCAGAAAAGTCATGTGCATTTTCTTATTGTTGCAATGTCTTTATCAATTCCTTCAACACAACTTCAATCTGTAGACTTTTTTGATACCCAAGGATGTTGTTCTCCTGCATGTAGACCAGTGGTTTGGCTGAGAACTTCAGGTGAACTTTTTCTGCCTCTGAGCCTTGAAAAGAGCACTTTCATTTAATCTGTGTTTTGTTCTCTTTGTGAATCATAGTAGAAGTTCTTGAAGAGAGATTTTTTTTTGGGGGGGAGGAAGGGCAAAAAGTAAATCAGGGTCAGTTAATATCAGAGGCAAAGGTCAGACAAGAACAGTGAGTCTTTTAATCATGTTAGGGGGATTGTTAGGAGTTGCACCTCAGGCAGTGTAGAATCCCTCCTTTCTTTGGTTCATTAGTGTATTTTTTTTTTTTGGTTGGTTGTTTTGTTTAGTGGCAGGGTAGCCCCTAAGCTACCAATTGTGGAACAGATCAGAACTGTTGAAGCCTTGCTTTGGAGGGCTTTGGCTTGAAATTCCACTTTTCTTATAGAAATGAAGTTTATAGAAAAGGGAGAATTGACTCCTTTTATTTAAGACTGAAAGGTCAATTGCTAGCTGTTGCAATGGCACTCTGAGGCAATATGAGCCTGAAAAGGATTGAACCTCCCTGTGGCAACAGTGATTACTTTACTTGACAAGATAAAAATCTAAGTACCTGCTACTGTGAGGTACTCTGCTAGAAGTGTAAAAATATTACTGCTGATATTCTGGCTGCCTCCTGTATTTAATAAATATACTGTCTGTTGTAATTGGTCTTCTGCTGTAAGTGGAAGGGTGACTTTCTCAGACTGGTGTGCTTGGATATTTAGGGATTTTTATTTCGGTTGCAACTGCAGCTTTTGTAACTTTAAGACTTATCTGGGCAAAATAAATTGAGTAATGCAAATTTTTCTTTTCATTTTAGGAATTTGATGAATCCTCACCAAAACGTCCAACAAATCCCTATGCCTCCTCTAAAGCAGCTGCAGAGTGTTTTGTTCAGTCTTACTGGGAAAGGTACCAAGTAAGTTGATGCGCAAGCTTCAAAAACTCTGAAGCCCCTACTTAAGTGTCTGTATTACATATACAAGAGAAAAATCGTACTAGTCCGCACAGTGCCACCTCTTTCCTGATTGCTAGTCTTGTAGTTAGGATGTGTCGGAGGATGTCCACCACTTATTGATGGAGATACACTGCAACACAGTGGGCAGAGGTCAAATGTTTTTAATTTTTTTTAAAATCTGAGTCATAATGTCTAATAAAGTTCTTTGATAAAATGGTCATAGAGAACATTAGCAATTTAAAAAAAAAAAACAAAAACAGCTTGAAGGAAATCTGTTTATACAGAACTAGAATATGCAAAATTAAAATTATATTAAGACTGGGCTTATAGTGAAAGAAAAGAAAAAAGCAAGCCCCCCTATTATTTGGATTTATTTAAGCAAAAATATTTAAAATTTTGAATACTTTAGTCTTTTGCTCTTGACATGTCCTTCTGCAATGTTGCTTTTGACATAAAGTTGACTTGAATAAGATGTTAATGACCGTGAAACATTTTCTTGGAATAAGTAGTAGTAAGCCAGTCTTATGTATGCAGTGTTCTGTGATGGTTCCGTAGCAAGACTGAGAGATTACAAACATTTGTCACTTGTGGGGCTTCTAACAGACTGACAGGGCTGGAGGCCCTTGCCTATTTGACAGAAGTATGGATAGCTTAATTCATGAATGTTTGTAAGGGCTTGCAGATTTTTGAGTAAGCGCTGTGGGTGTGTCAGTTCATTATTTATTGATCAGCAAGAAGCCTACAGATCTTTTTTTACTGGTATTTATTTTTCTCATGTAATCACATGCATGTTTAATCCTCTTAAGTTCCCAGTTGTTATCACACGGAGCAGTAATGTTTATGGACCACACCAGTATCCAGAAAAAGTAAGTTAAACCTATGCTTTACTCTGAGCTTCAGTATACCATAATTTAGGGTTGTAGTGATGTTACTTTTTTCTCATGAGAATGGACTGACTTTTGAAAAAAGCACTGTCTTGCAAGTGTATTTGTCCACATTTACCTGTGATTATATGTTTTGATCTCACACTAACATGTCTTACCATCAACACAATGAACACAGGTTTTTTTTGGTTTTCAGTAAAGCATCAATGAGAGATTTCTAGTTATTTACATTAGTTTTACTACAAGGACTTTGTTTTGTAATTTTTTTTTTTTTTTTTTTTTAGTTTCAGAGGATATTTAACTGCCCTGCGTCTGGCAGGGTTCCCCTACAAATTACGTTAACTGACATGTCATGTGCTGTAATTAGGAATGTTTGATAACCAAAATAAACATTTCAAAACCTAAACTGTGAGAGAGCAATATGTCTGGTATAGAAAGAGATGTTCCAACCTGTACAGACAATAGGTAAGATGATGCTATAGCAATCAGATATATGGTCAGAACTAGTGCAAAGCGACTTGTTCTTTGCATGTATTCATACATACCTTGTGGGGTAACTATGTAAAATGGTTGCTAGTGAGAGGGAGTTGCCTTTGTAGGCAATACCAAGATCTGCTATGCTAGTGAATGGCAATACACTGATGGAATGATAGTGATAATCATATGTACTCTTTGGAGTTCAGAGCTTGTGTGAAATGTAGTTTTGCAGTTCTAGTGAGATTTTTTTTTTTTAAATTTGAATTGTTTTTTCTGTGTTGGGTTTTTTTGCAAATTTATTTTCCCTATGTTATTGCAGGTGGATAACCAACAATTTTTAAAATGTGTTTTCGCTGAACTGTGGCTTGGGAAATGTCTGGCTACAGGTTGCATGATGCTGGGAGTATATTGAGGGGATGTATCACTATTTACTTGCTTTCAGCTTATATATTCTTCCTCAAGTATATACTTTTAGTTGTTGCTAAAAAGACAATACTAGGCTACATGGATCTTCAGCTTTACCTAGTATGTCTGGTCCTGGTCCTATGTTTAGAGTAGTAAGTTAAGAAAATTAAAAGAATTAGAATAACTTTCTGATGGCTTCAGTTTAAAAACTTCAATAGCTGGACCAACTGTTCTGAAGTTTCTGGGACATTATGAATGGATCTAAGCTTGCAGCTGAACATAACTTTGTAAATCCTTATCCTGCAAGCTAGTGGCTATAGCTTAATCTGTGTTTCCTTACCTTGAAATTTTCTGTTGGTTCTCTTCCAAATTTAACTATTTTAATGACTCTTACTTTTTGGCTGTAGATTTGGTGCAGGTTGCTTGATGTTTAAACCATGTTCTAAACTGTTTGCAGTAGTCATCCCTAGTTACACACTAGTGCACTTCCATGTGCAAAAATTAATGGAACCATTTTCTTTTGTAAAAATGTTACATTCGTAACTAGTGATTTGTAGTGATTGACCAGAAGGATAAGCTTAACAGCGCAATAGAGGCATCTACTCTTTTGGTTTTTGTTTTTTTTTTTTTTTGTTATAAACCAACCCCACACAAACACCGTGATTTCCCATGAACTTCAGAAAAGACAATATGGTGTAGAAGATACTCTGCTTACACCAGATAAAAGAATCCTTGCAGTTTCTAGGCTTGATGTATTCTTTGATTAGACTTAAGAAAACTTGAGTATTTAAAAGGTCTTATTAAAATACTTAATGATGCTTACTGGTGAAGCCCCATGTTCTTTGCAGAATAACAGCTTCTAAAATAGCGGAGTAATGTTTTTTTTGTTCAATTTCTTAGGTTATTCCAAAGTTTATATCTTTATTGCAACAGAACAGAAAATGGTATGTAGTTTGCTTTTTTGTTTGTGGTATTTGTGCTATAAAACTGTAATTACAGTTATAAATATGTGGTATAGTTTATAAAATGATAATTTCATAACTAAGTTATGAATTGCTTATTTTAATAATAGGGTTTCCTTAAACTAAAGGATTGTTTGCATGTCAGCTACTTAAGGTACCTTCAGGTAACAGCTAACAGCAAAACTGCTTAAAACACAGTCTAATAAATTGAATGCTTCTATCTAAGGATTAACAAAAATTTTTTACCTTTTTCCTGGTTTTAAGCTGTATTCATGGTTCTGGACTTCAAAGAAGGAATTTCCTTTATGCAACTGATGTAGTAGAAGCATTCCTTACTGTCCTGAAGGAGGGCAAACCAGGTGAAATTTATAACATTGGAACCAACTTTGAGATGTCCATTGCCCAGCTTGCTAAGGAGTTGATCTGCTTAGTGAGTAAACAGTTATGATGCTTTTCTTTACCAGTCATATGAACAATTATACTATAAACCTTTTGTAGCTCTGAGAGAGCTTAGGCTTGTGTGTCTTAAAAGATAGTTGTGGCAGAACGATGTGCTACCCTTTCTGTGGCAGCTGTATTTTGTAAGTTCGCTGTACAGGTTGTTGTGTGTTGCACTGCTGCATTGGTTATCCTGACTGGGACATGACTGGCGTAATGATTAAATGCCATTAGGTAGGTTTTTTTCCATGCTGGCTCTTCAGTTTTGATCTGAGAATATGGCACTACTAAAATCTAATACTTGATGATGAATGGTTAGGCTGTGCTCGGAAGAAGTAGTATTGGAATTGTTCTAGATAGTTTTGACAATTTCAGTAGTTTGAAAATTCAGTTTAGACAAAAGACCATTTCTGTTTGTGGGGTTTATGTTTAACAGACTTAAAAATAGATTTTTTTTTAACAAGATTTAAATGTATGTTAACACAGTGCAAGATGTGGGGGTATGATTTTTGTTTCTCCTCTTGACAGATAAAGAAGACCAGTTCAGAATCTGAAATGGAGCACTGGATGGATTATGTCAAAGACAGGTAAGAAAATAGTGAAGGACATGCAGGATAGCTTTATTCTGAAGGTTTCTGGGTCTGTTGCCAAATAGCTTTTTGTACAAGTGTTTCTGCTCTGTAGGAGAGAACTTTTGAGGGAATAATTTTTTTTTTTTTTTTTGCTAATGGGTTTGATATCTGTGATCTATACAGAACGCTTCAGAGAAAAACAGGATTTCCATTTATTACTTGGATCTTTAGGTCAGAGTGTATGTCTTGAAGGGGAATGTGCAATACTAACCTGTCTTCAAAACTTTCTTCAGACTTCTCACTACTGAAGTCTGCTCTGGGAAAAGGACAGGTTTTACAGAGTAGCTAAATCTTTTCTTAAGGGTAGTTTAGATGGTTTATTCAGTACTTTGTATTGAACATGACTTGAGTGAGATGTATCCCATCATCTCTCATTTAGCTTTAGTATTTTGATGTTAATGTGACTAGTTCAGACTTAGATATGCCTTATACGTAATACTCACTCTCCACAGGCAGAAATGTATGCACCTATGGGGTGCAGTTAATTTCAGATTCCTATCTTAAGCTGAAACTGCTCTCTCAAAAGTAGATGTAGGACTCTGAGGTGCCAAAGTTAGGGTGGCAGCAAAATTGGATAGCTTTTATAAATATGCTTTTGCTGTGTGTTTCCATCCTTAACTTCAGGCTTGGTTTGCCTCTGTTCTTTTATCTTCGTTTCTTTTCTGCAGCAACAGTGAGTCTCTGTTTACTTTAGATATCTCTCTTTCTCCAGAGTGATTAGAAATGATATATCTGCTGATAGCAGTTGAGTATTATTATGGCCTTTTAGAATCTCACTTCCTGTTCACATTTGGATTGTTATCATGGCAAACTAAGTGTGTTTAAATGTACTAATTTTTTTTTTAAAAGGAAGTGTTCTTCAAAATCCTGTCTGAGTGTATCACAGGACTCTGAACAAATTGCCTTTGGCTCACACGATGTGAGTGTTCAGTAGGTCTCAGTGTAATTCAGATTGAGATGTTTCTTCACATGTATTGGGCCCTGTCTGCTAATGTTTAAATATAAATGGGCTTGGGAAAACTAACCACATAGGAATACATTTTTCGAGAATGTTGAGGCCTTAAAAGAACCTTACAATACCTACCTAATGATTATTTAATTCTGTAATGAGCAACTTAAAGGTCATGGGGGTTACTTGCCGTGGAAAAATTAGTTCTGCTTCTGCTTGAGATTAGCATGTTTTAATAATGGTGATGAGTAGCTGGTTTGTGTCTGCATGTGTAGCTTAGCTGTTCAGTGTGCTAATGCTGGTAATGCAGGAATGCTGGGCTAGACTGCCCAACTGCCAGACTGTGGAAGTGAAAATTTGTGCCATGCTTAAATGTAGGGAATCTCTTTTCTGTGTTGAGTCTTGCAGCCTGGGATTCTACATATTCAGTATTACTAAGCTTGGGTTGCTAATGAAGCGCTGTAATGACAGTGCTTTGGGAGTCTGTGTATTTCAGATCTGAAGTATGTGGAAAATTTCTGGACTTTCAGGATAAAATATGTGAATTATATTGGGGAAACACTGGCTTGCGTAGTGACTGTCTAAAGAGTTGCAAATGCACCAATTTGCACAACTGCGTTGGCAGTGATGTGAGTTTTGCATTCATTTTTGTGCCAATAAGATATTCATATTTATTCTAGTCACTTCCAAGTAGTTGACTCTACAAACTGAATTGTTGTATTACAATTACAACTGTATTGTTGTAGCTGCACTCAACTGCCACATATTTTTTGAGGGCAATGTTCATGCTGATTGGCATTTTCAAAATTGAAGCATACCTAATGTTGGTTTGAAGACAATGTGAGGTGCTGCATCCCTAATTCATGGCAAACTCTAATCAGATTGTTTTCCATGTGCATTTTATACTTCATCAGACCTACCAATGACCTGAGATACCCAATGAATTCAGAAAAAATGCATAACTTAGGATGGAGACCTAAAGTGCCTTGGAAAGAAGGAATAAAGAAAACAAGTAGGACTGATGCCTTTTACACTAATTGATTTAGAAGTGATGGGAGAAGGGAAAGGGGGGGTAAATGAGTATATAGGTTAGTTAATGAGAAGCTAAAGAGAATTAATTTAACACTTTAATTTTACATAAAATTGTCTGATTTTTAAGTAGTAAATGTACCTGATTTAAAAAAAAGGTTAATCATAATAAAGTAGCATCAGGTACTAGAATGAATTAATTTTTAACGCTAGAATAAGTCTTGCACAAAGAATTTATAAAATCTAAACTAGACTTTTTTTTATATTATAAGTTAAAATTTTGCATAATGAACTCTTAGCGTGTTGTTAGTCTTATACCTGTGGAATATTTGAATTTCCCTGTTATCTCTGGTCAACTTGACTCATCAACATTCTCTTCTTACTAGTTGAATGGTACAAAGAAAACTTTCACAACTGGAAAAACGCAGAGAAAGCTTTGGAGCCCTTTCCTGTGACAGAGCCATTTGCACAGCTTGGTGGTCCATAGGGAGGCGGAGAACCTGAAGGAGTTTATTCTACCTCATACAGTCTTCTCTTCGAAGCCTGCAGTCAAGTGGCCACACTGAACTCTTAATGTATTCAAGATACACAAACCACGATGAATACGGAACTACAGTACGGCGTGACTTTGGAATGGTTTCAGCACTTTATAAGTTGAACCTGTTGCACTTTATAAGTTGAACCTGTTACTTTCAGCTTTTGGTGCAATACTATATTCTCACTAGGTATTGATTTTAAAGAACTGTACAGGATGAAGAATATTTATAATGCCATAAGTTAGTGTATCTGATGTAAAACCTGCCTTATTAATTTAGAATAATTAATTACGATTTACAGCTTTTGGGACTTTCAATTAAATTTGTTTTAGTTCTGGAATCATTCATCTGTATTAGTCTGTTTTTACAGCGTAATATATTATTTTTGTCACATAAGAGTTGTGTTTTATTCTTAATCAAGGGGAAAATGCTGTATTTTTCTGGAGAGTATAAATCAGTTGATAAAAGTCAGATATAGCACTCTCCTGGTTCAGTCCTTTTCTCTGTTGGTGCAGTATTACCTTCTGTAGGTGACTGATTAAACTGTTATCTACTCTGTAGCTTTAAATGCCCCTTTTTTAAGGGGAACGGGGGGGAAGGTGTCAAGAAGTAGCAGGTGTTCTCGCTGAGATTTCCATAAGCATTTTCTTAAACTTTGTTCTGTTTTACATGTCATCTTATTACTGTATTACTGTCTCTTACGTGTTAACTTCCTTTTCTTAACTAATTGTAACAAACTTGAAATACTGTAACACAGTTAATGTTCCAATGATGTTATTTCCTGTGATATGAAGGCTATTTATGGAGAAAAATTTTAAGCTCTTCTTTTTCTGTGAATTGTGGGTTGGTGGACCTTATTCCAAAGCAGTGTTCCACAATTTTTTTTTGTGACAAACATTTTGAAGATGAAACAATATTTGAGTTCTAATGTAAAGTTTGGGAGGAAACTTCAAGTCTAGAAATATGTCAATGAATCTTTTTCAAAGTTGATTTAGTAATAAAAGTTATGGTGTAACTGGTTTCTCTTAAACATGTTGAAAAAGTAGATGGTGGGGTTTTTTTATATTTGTTAATTTTTTCGGGATACAGGAAGAACTGTTTTCACTCTTTGGCTTTGAGGTGGCAGACATAGAAGGGAAAACTCTTCTTGGTTTTATCACTTCAGCTTCTGTACTTGGCGCTGTCCCAGACCCTTCTGTTGCCCCTGGGTAGAGCTGCAGAAGCATAGGGCTAGGATGCTATGGTGTGCTCGGAAATTGCTGTGACTTCTAAAGTTTCTCAGAAATTGGGAGTTAAGTCTCAAACACAAGTATGTGCAGAAGTCCTTTCCTCATCACCCTAAGTGCAGGAAGAATGGAGCTTGGGGCATTTGCCTTACCTTTGCCCCTGCTAGAGTTTTGGTAGTAACTGAACAGAAAACTTAGTACTACTGACCCAGACAGCCTACAGGTAGTGCTGCCTCTGGACCCACAATGCTCCCCACTTCATCACACCTCTTGTGTGTTGCACGGTGCTCTTGATGACAAGATGCCACTCTTGGTTGGTAAGAGTCCTCTTAAAAGCAGGCTAACCGTAAGTGTCTAGGCTTACCTTGGCACCAAGTGTGTGTTCTGAAGTCTAGGATTGTGTTACTGAAGGTGAGTGTTCTGTGATGAAGTGGGATAATTCTACTATGCTAGAATTGTGTTGCACTTGTGTTTTTTGGGGGGGTTTCTGATACTTGGTTTGGTAGCCAAAACCTCCATTTGGGAAGGACAGAAGGTACAGGATTTAGTATGTACTAGTCTATTAGACTACTTGGCTTACCAGATACTTAAGGTTAAGCTTCTACCACTGAATGACTTAAATTTCTTCGTCAAACACACATTGCTGGTAACATTCAAACATTTTCTTAATTTTTATGTTTTCTTGAGAGACAGCTTCCTTACAGCATGTAGAGTGTTACTTACCCATCTTAACTGTTTTGCATTTTATAAAAGTCAATACCAGAAATAGCTGAAGTGTACTGCAAAGATCTGTTTTAGCTGTGGCAGCTGCTCTGGGTCAGCTGCATGGAAGTACATATCTTTCACATCTGCTTATGCTTGAATACTGGTTATATGATGTGTCTTTAATTTTAGGAACAGAGATTATAGATGACTAAATTATTATTTTAAACCTTACAAATAGGTATGGTGTCTTTTAAAAATCAATTAACTTGTGATAGTGTTACCAGATCAGAAATAGACAGAAGAAAGCAGCAGCATGTGATTGGTTTATTGGCTAGACCTTTTAAAGTTGTTTTGAATGTTCAGATGCTGAAGATGCAAGCCTTGACATTTATGTGACTGTCCAAACAAGTGATGTTACTGGGAGTGGATTTTTCAAAAGGATCTATTAATTTTTAGTGGAAACTGTTCTAGTTTCTTTAAATGTTCTTGTAGATTTAATCATTCCAAGTGTTTGAGATTTTTGACTCGGTATTCCTATTTTTATTTTTATATATGTAAAAATAAATATATACATGCGCATTTAAAAATACATAAATATATATTAAAACCAAATTAATCTAGGAGGCTTTTGCTTTAAGCTGCTCTGCTGTAGATCAGGTTGCCTTAGCAGGTGAGTGCTCTGGTAGGAGCATTCCTTTCACAGGGAAAAGTCTTTTTGCTGTTAAAGAAAACGGCTTATTTTGCCATTAACCTTTTGGCTTCTGTAGGAAGAAAAGGACAAAGGATCAAATAGTGAACTGTTAATGTGGAGAAGTGTAATGTTTTTAGTTTTTATTTCTTGCTGTTTTTAATTGGAGGATAGGAAGAAGCATTTCTGCAGAAGGCAAAGGTAGTGGTATAAAATACTGTGAACACAGAAATCTCCCACTGCACTCTTCTCAAGGTTTGTGTCGCAGAACAAACTGAGGTTACACCAGTAAGAAAATAAATGGACTAAATGTGTATGGTACTTAAATTGTTAAAGCTTTCTAAAGCAGAAAGAAGGGTTGGCCTTTGGCGAGGGTTTTTATCCAGCTTCCATCATGCATGGGAGGCTCACAGTTGGGAAATTATTTGGGGATAGCTGTCAGTTCGGCATCTCTTTTTGGGGTTACTCTTGTGGGTTGGATCAGATCTTCGGGAAGCGGCTCCTGAAATCCCTTGTGCATTGGGAAAACCCAGCATCGCTACCCCGTTATCGCGGCACACCAAGGCTGCCGTTCAGCGCATCCCTTGCAAGCAGCAAGTGAAAGAATTTGGGAGGTGGCGAAGTGGGCAGCCGAGGCAGGGCTGTCCGCAGTCCACCTGCCCTGCGAGTCGTGGCCGGGGGGGCCTCTGTGCGCGTGTCCGCCCTGGGGTGCGTGGTGGAGGGGGTGTGCGGTGGAGGTAATCCCGGCTCCTGCCAAGGCTTCCTCCGCTCTCACCTTGGCACCTGCTTGCTTACACTTGCATGCTGCTTGGCATTAAGGGGTGCCAGCTGTGGCTAAGGCTGGTTTGGGTGGCCATAGGATGGACTAGAAAATAGCTTTTCTTTGTCCACCCTGTCCTTTACTAGACAGAGGAGGAGGTTATGGGAGAAAAAAATGTGTTTGGTGGTTTGGTGGGTTTTTTGTGGTTTTTTTTTTTTTTTTGTTTTTTTTTACCCGGCCCTGCCCTCCCCTCCCCCAGTCCCTATTCTGGAGGGGTACAAAATAGCACAAAATTGTTTTCCCATTAGGAGAAAGTTGTGAATAGCTTCGGCTGGACTCAGAATGCTCTGTTTTGCTAAAACTGTGTTCTTATGCTTTTTAAGTAGCCATGAAATGCTAACATGTTTCTACTTTTTAGTAAGAGGAACTTTCATACAAAACCTCCAGATTTTGTTGGAGGAAAAAGTGGCTGTTCTATTAGATATACTACATCTGAGACGGAATTGTCCTTTTCTTTTGTTTTCATTTTGTTTTGTTTTGCATTACCTTTTAGTTTTAATTTTCACTGCCATTTCAATTTTACCTGGCAAAACAAAGGTTTCTAAAAATAATAAAAAGTAAAATAACCACTTGGTCCATATTAGCTCCGATTTTTGTGTAACATATGAAAGCTCTAAAGTCAATAGTGTTTGGACTTTCACACATGTCATTGCATGTTTGGAGTTTATTGGCACCAAAGATCACAAGATTGTGTTAATTGCATCAGTAGGAGACATGCTCTTTAAGTGATTACAGTCATCAGCAAAACAATCATTGCCAGCGGCGATGGAAAATCATGAGAATATGAGATTTTGTATCAGTATGTTGTTAGCACACCTTTTTAGTACAATGGCATAGGGTTTGTTTTTTTTTTTAACCTTTCCCTAACTGAATTTTTTTGTTAAATTGTTTTTAGTCACTAAGTAACTGCTGGCCTAGTCCTCAGCATTTTGACTTCTGAAAATACCTTTGACTTCTGAACATGTCAGCTCCTGAAGAACAGTGGTTGCTCAGAAAAGACTTTCCAAAAGTGCGACAACTTGAGGAAAAATGTGCTCTGAAAGTAAAAGGAAATATGGGGGTGTATGTCACCAAATATTCACAGAGCTAGTTTGGCCAAGGGCTGCTTCTTCCACACTGGAAAAAAGGAGGGATTTGTTAAACTCCTGTGTAGCTGTGGAAGAGAAAGAGGTTGGCTTTGATTTTTTTGACTAACAGGAGGGAGAAGCAGCGGGCAATCTTGCAAAGCACCGTTTCTCCCCACGCAGCATGCAGGGAGCGTGACTAGGGGCTGTTCCCCCCGGTAGCTTTTTCTGGAGCCATGGGATGTGCGAATAAACACAACCTTGAGACGCGAGTGCCCAGCAGCAGTGCCACCTGTGCTAATGTGTGTGCCCCAGCGCATCCTCTAACTTCGACCCGTAGCCACAGGAGTGCGATAGCAGTCGCCTGTTGAAATAAATGCCTAACCGACAATGTGAGAATAAACTTTTTTTTTTCTTATAACTGTGCTTGTCCAGGCTCTGTGATTTATGCAGAGACATAATGTTCCCCTGTGGAAGGTGTGTCTCCAAGCAAGACCATGGAAAAATGAGGATGAAGGTGCCCTTTCTATTCAGGCTTACTCGTGGTACATCAGCTCTGTACAGAATTTGTCA